GGGGGAGAGCTCGCCTGCTGCTGCTGCTGCAGAGCCCAGCGTCCTGCCGTCAGTTCCTGTTTGCTACACTATGGTTTTCTGCCCCCGTGCCTTGCCAGGACCCCTGTGATTCAGTGGTCCAGTTCTGATACATCTCGTCTACAGCTGCGGGATTCTGCTTGTCTCTTGGCTTATCTGGCTGTTCTGAGGTTTCTTGCTATCCAGAGGGAGCACTGGGATCGGCTATTCCCCCGTGAGTTTGTAGCAGAACTTTTTCTCCATTCATCTCTGCCGGCTTGTGCCCGGCATTGACCACATGGGAGATCTGAACCAGCCGGGACCCGCTCCACAGCGCCCCCTGCAGACGCCGGGGAATCACCGCACCCACCCTGCCCGGCCAGGAGCCAACAGCGCCCCTGCCGACTGGGACTGTAACTGCACCAAAGGAGAGGCTGTGTCTCTGTAAGGCTGTCATTGGGTTTGTGGCGGGGTTGGTTGTTGCTATCATTGTTGTTACTTGTTTCACCTCGTCATACATATTAGTAAAAACTGTTTCTCCCTTTAACCCATATCCTTGCCTGAAAGCCTGTGATTTTCAAAGCTGTAATAATTCAGAGGGAAGGTGGGTGGGTCATATTCACCACTCCAAGGGGGGTCCCTGACTTCATTGACAGACACCTGTCTTTCAAACCGAGACACWGCACCACATTCAAGTGGCAGTCCTCTTTCCTTTACAACCTGCCAACTGCCGTTAGGTGACTGCTCAGCACATTCCTTCTCAGATATAAGTACCACCGCTCCCTTTGCTGTGCCTTAAAAACCAAAARTGCACAGGAAAATGAGGCAGGATGAAAACATTTTCTTGTTTATTCCATGTTGTCTTCCAGATTGTGGTGGTTTGTTGACAGCGTTGAATCTAGGAAGAATAAGCTAGGAACTGCTTCTCTCTTGACATGCATAACTGAGGAAAAACGGTTCACAGCACACTGTGTTTGTGTGCAGTATTCAATCGGTGATGGAAAGCTGAATTCCACCAGTGGGCTTTGGTTTTTRGAGCTGGTGTATGGGAAGAGCTGTGGGCTGTTTCAAGGTTTGAATTGGGGATCTGCCAGAGTGAGACAGAATCCCAGAGCATTATGTGTATTTGAAAGGCATGACCACAAGAAGGGGTCATGCAGCAAGTGCTTCTGTCCTAACATCTTTTTCTCTGTGTGAAATGGGCTTTCTCTGTGTGAAATGGACTTGGTAAGGTTGAAAGCACAGGATGGTATTAAGCTGAGCATGAACTGCAGCATATCATTGGCTGTGTGCAGTTTACAGATGGCAAAAAGTCGTTAATGCCATTTGAATGCGGCATTCCAAGTGCAAGTTAACAATTGTAATAGGGAGAGTCAGAGAAAGTTTCCTGTGCTTTCCTGCTATGTGAGCTCTAGCAGGAAGCAATTCAGTTTAGCTTCAGAAGCTGCTGTGATTGTGAGGTGATTTCTGAGAAGAAAACTACAGAAGAGCAGTGTGTTTGGTGTGGTTGATATGCTTTAAGGGAATGTGCAGGCTCTCACTAGGATCTTGTTCTTAGTCCATTCCTAGGGCATCAGCTCCTCAATATTTTAGTTCTACAGTTAAGCTCCACGAGAGTGAGAAATGTAAGAGGACATGCAGCTGTGAAAGAAGGTGCATAGCCCTGTGTGAGTTCTGTGTTGTTAAAACGTTGCCACAACAAAGACATACCCGGCAAGTGCTCCTGTTCTGGCACATCTTTGTGCACAAATGGACATGAAAACTTCAGTCTCTGCAAAATTGCAAGTGAAAACCTGAAGCTGAACAGGAAATCCAAGAGCAGCAGTGTGTGACTATGTATTTGAAAGAAAGACAAGGTGATAGTACTTTTCTTAGACAGGAAAGCTCCTAGCTCTGGTTCACACAGTGTTGTTAGTAGTCTTCAAAGTGAATGGTAAAGCCACTAACTGCTTCTCATCCCAGCTGCGCACGCAGCTGCTGGGACATGGACATGTCCTGATGCCCACCCCCCACCCCTGACCCATGGACAAGATTTGGGACAGTTTGAAGCCATTATAGGTATGAAGTTGTGAAGTTGTGCCAGTTCAGGAATGGCAAAGGGACAATTTGGGGGCCTTTTTGGGGTGTCCCTGTGTGCCTCCCTGTCCCAAATCTCCACCCTCCTCCCTGTCCTGCCCATGCCAGTCCCTCCTGTGTCCCGCACAACGCCCCACAGAGGGGCAGTCCTGGGTCCGTGGAAAGCATCTCCGCTTCTTTCCCTGCCGCTCGACCCCGTCCCCACRGCCTGGCAGCCACCAAAACACACAAGGCTAAGGCAGGATGGGGACCCTACGCTGGCCCAGTGCGGAGGGCTCCGGAGGCTCCACAGGTGCCAACAGCCCATGCTGCTGCCGGAGCGAATGCCAATGGCTGTGGGCAAGTGGCAAATCCAAATGGGGCCAGGAGGAGAAGGGCAGCCGGGGGTTGGGGGGTTGAGACCCTGCTGCACGGCCTGGGAGCGGAGAAAGGTTGGCGTGGGGCTGAGGGCAAAGTCGAGGACCAAAGCAGGGACAGCCAAGCAAAGCCGCCTGCTGAGAGCACTCAGCGCATGGGAACGCAGCGTTTTTTGGGAGTGCACGTGGTCTCAGCCCCGGAGGCAGTGCAGGACGCTCGGGGGAGGCAGAGCATGAAGAAGTCAGGCAGTGCATGAAGGCAGCACAGAGGATGCCGCCAGGAATGAGCTCAGGTGGCTGGGTTTTATGGAACAAGTGTGCCAGCACTCAGATTCTAGAATCAAAAGAAGTGCACCTTTGGGATTTGAGCAATGCAAGAATAGACATGGCCTCGAGGAGAGAGAATTTAAGATTCTGCCATCTTTTCAAGAGCGGGGGTTTGCTGCAGAGCTTGCTCCCCATCATGCGTCCCTCCCACTCTAGGTCCTGTCCTGGTATGGCAGTGAATGTAGAAAATGCAAACCCCACAGTGGCACATTTGTGGGTCAGTTCTAGACAGAAATCTAAGTGGAAAACTAAGCCCAACCCTAAAACAAACCCTAACTGTAACCCTAAACCTAATCCTAAAACTAAGCCCACACCCATACCCTAAATCTACTCCAACTAGAACCCTAATTGCAACAGAAATCCCAGGGAGAAGGGAGCCTAAAAGAAACCCCACCAGGGGGAAGATTTTTCACTTCAACCTGTTGGAATTCAGGGGCTTTGTGACCCTAACCATAATCCAAACCCATGACCCTAGCCCTGCCCCCCAACCCTAACCCAGTTGTTTATTCCACAGTATTTACRAAGAGGTCAGGGTTTTGGGGATAATGGGGGATAATACCCAATGGAAAAATATGGAGGGATCCTGGTGTGTGACAATTCCCTCCCCCCTCAAGATCTCCTGGAGTAGCAGCCTCTGGAGATGCCTTGCTGGACCTCCCCCACACACACAGTCGGTCTTCCCAAATGAGCAAGGACCTTTCCAAACAGTCAGGAAACTGGCAGGGCCTCCATAAAACAAGCTGCCCCCCTCCCAAGCAATCAAGGACCCTCACTCTTCTGGGTGGGTG